GAAATAAGCACTTGGCTTTATTTTGGGGGAGGTCTCATTATTTTTGAGGTGCAGGAGGCGGCAAGCGTGGTCACCTCATAGCTGCTGCTATGTTGCAATATTTTCAGAGAGGGCTTATTTTGGGGGAAGGGCTTATTTTAGCATATGCGCTCAAAAGCCCAATTGGGTTTATTATCTGGGGAGGTCTTATTTTCAAGGAATCAGGGTAACTAACACTCCCTCATCCTCCTGTTTGTTTCCTCACAACAACTCCTCCGTAAGGTGGATTGGGCTGAGAGAAAATGACTGGGCAAACTGATCCAGCTGGCTTTCATGCCTAAAGCGGGACTAGAACTCACCATCTCCTGGTGAATGGCCCAAAGACACCCAGACAGCTTTCCTGCCTAGGGTGGAAATAGAACTCCCAGTCTCCTGGCCAGCATCTTAAACTATTATGCCATTCCATTCATTTGTCTGGCAATATGAGGCGGAGGACTGATTTAATTTTCTCCTTCCCTTCTTGGAATGAACTCAGCTACAGGGGATGATGGGAGAAGTTATATTTTGGAGTTAGAAAGACCACTGAATCCAAATTGGGGGGGGGGAATTTGGGATCCTTCTCTGGCCCTTTCAGAGTTTTTTAAGATTCTCCCTTGAAGATCTTTTCTGCCCATAGTTGAAGGCTGCAGGGAGAGAGGCTTTCACTGTTGACCTCCAATTCTGCTTTTTCCCAGATCCTCCGCTGATCACGGATGTCAAAGATTCCCACCCCTTGATAGGAAAGACAGCCCTCTTGCGCTGCGAAGCCATGGCTGTGCCCCCTGCGGAATTTCAGTGGTTCAAAGACGACAAGCAGTAAGTCTGTGTTTTCCCATCTCCTTCCGTGTCACCCATGAGAAGAGACAATGGCACTCTGCCAACTTTGTAGTGCAAACGTTTCCACATGTCTTCAATTCCTAGAGTGCCTTGGGATAGATTGGATGGGAGTTGTGGAATTGAAGTGCCCGCACATCTTGAAGGATGCTTGGAGAACTCTTGTTTTAGGCAAAGAAGAGTGACCCTAAGACACACAAAATAGGGAGAGATGGACTTCACACTTTCTTAAACAAATTCACATTACAACCGAGCAGAGAGGAATTTGGACAATCTCCACCAGGAGAACTTCTCAATGGCAGGAGCCCTTTGAGTGGTGACAAAAACATTGCTCCTGAGAAAAAAATATCCACAGGTTGGATTATCTCCTGATGAGTTCCTGTGAGATTGAATGGAAGTGTGAGAAGATAATCCAGGAAGATACAGACTTTTAGAGGGGAGATGAACAAGGAAAGGGATGTTGTGGCCTGCCAGCAGAGCTGGCAGCAGATTTGGACAATGAGGAAGCTGGGGAGGAACATGGGCCAGGCCTGGAATCTGGAGAAGGCTCGGATGAGGGCTTTGTGTTGGAGGCAGAGAGGGAGCCAGGGCTGTATGCCAGTTATCAGCTGCCTTCAGAGTCAGACATCAGTGAGGCAGATGAACAGCTGGAGCCTCTTCCAAGTGTGCGCATGCATAGAGTTGCCAGATGAAGGGAATAACTAAAGAACGGGAGTCAACTTGGGAGTAAGACCAGAAGTGGATGATGAATGGCCCCTCCCAGAGGAAATAAAAGAGGAGCAAAAAGGGGAGTGGAGTTTGCAGGAGACAATTAGTTCGCTTAATTGGTTTGTGACTCTCGGAGACTCCTTGCCAAGTTTTGCAAATATCAGTCTGGCAGCTCTCCAAGCCAGATAAGGTCTCTGACTGTAAATCCTCCCTTGAAAGACTTTGCCAGATGTCAAGGAGCAGAATTCACAGTCAATTAATAAAGGTTTTTTTTCTCGGGAGAAGGAGTTGCTTCATGCTCTTGGGAAGCCTTGGTCAGAACAAGGGAGAATATTCACCCAAACAACTTGGTCATCTTAAAAATAAGGAACCACATTCTTCTATTCCATCAATTAGATACAGTATTTTCCAATGTTCTCCTCTCCTTTGTCAAATCTCATTCCTGCCTCAGTCCTTTTTGGAAGGCCCCGACTACTTGGCTCTTCTTTCAAGCTCATTCCATAAAACTGAATAGATCTTAGTGTGTCTCAAATGTTCTTTCTTGTTGTCCTCTGTGGAGTTTTGTTGTATTTCATTTTACCTTTTATTGTTGTATGCTGCCTGGAGCTGCATTTGGGACTGGAATGGTCGTATAAATCCAGTGAATAGATACATACAGTATATGCTCACTCTTTTCTCAGATGGAAAGAAAACTCTTTAAAATTGGAGGATAGTTTTATATTTTTGCACTAATCCAAGCAAAGGATCTATAGATCAGGGATGTCCAAACCTGACAACCTTTAAGATTGGTGAACTTCAACATGGCTGGTTGGGGAATTCTGGGAGTTGAAGTCCACAAGTCTTAAAAGTTGCTAAGTTTGGACATTAACAGATAACTGATTAACAGAGTTGGAAGGGACCTTCCAACCCCCGAACTCAAGCAGGAGACCTACACCATTTCTGACAAATGGCAGTC